GAGAGGTGGTGGGTGCTTTGGGAGGAACAGTTGGTGAAAGGGCTGGAGGGAGGCAGCATGTTTGGCTTTGCAGTAATAGGCCTTGGATTACTGCTGTCTTCCTCTTGTGAGATTAGAGGAGGTCAGAACATGTGGCCTCCTTGCCGTTTTTGCAGAAGGCTACTGCAGGAGTTGAGGGGAGAAAGGCTTAGATTAGAACAGTTCTAATGGAGATGGGGAGGAGCCCTGGTGATGCAGTAGTGAAGGCACTAGGCTGCTAACTGAAAGGTTGGTGGTTCAAATCCATCAGCTGCTCCGTGGGAGAAAGATGTGGTGTGCTGCTCCTGTAAGGATCACAGCCCGGGAAACCCTATGAGGCAGTTCTACTCTGTCACTGAGGTCACTATGAGTCAGAACTGACTAGATGACACACACCAACAACCACCCAGAATCTAGATCAAGAATTTAAAAAAAGAGCATCGACCTGCATCCAATACATCCCCTGATACTGAAGTGAATAGGAACTAAACAATAGAGGAGAAAGAGGAGGGTGTGGGTACCGTATGTCATGTATTCATAAGTTCATTGATGGTACCTCCATCTGGGAAGCACGGCTAGCAATAACCATAAAAAATGATGGCAAACCAGAGACTCAAAGGAGAAACTAGTCTACAGGACAAACAGACTACACCAACTGCCACCTCACCCACCCTGAGACCAGAAGAGCCTGATGGTGCCCCGTTATCAATACTGCCCTTTCTAATCAAGGTCACAATGAATGGACCCTGAAAGATGGGAGAAAAATGTGGAACAGAACCTCAAATTAAAAAAAAACAAAAAAACAAAAAAACAAACCCAGACCTACTAGTTGAGACTGGAGGACTCCTCCTCCAGATTATGTTGCCCTGAAATACAGTTCAAACTCTGAACTGAAACTAATCCCTGAGGTCACCTTGTAGCTGAACAAGTTGGCTCAACAAATAATGAATATCACCCATAAGCATTGTTCTTCTTTTAAAAATCACCTCTATGAGACCAAATGGTCAATAATGACTTTAAAAGAAAGGTGAGACTGAAAGGGGACAGGGAAACTAGATGAATGGAAACAGAACAACCAGACAGAATAATGAGAATGCTCATGCAATGTGAGGGACGTAACCCACGTCATGGTACAACATATACAGACATGGTTGAATGGGAACCTAAGTGATGTGTGTAAACCTACACTAAAAACACAGTAAATTATTCTTTTTAAAAAACTATGGAAATGGGGAGAGGAGGTGAGTGGGAAATTGTGCCTATTGTCTCTGTGTGTCGTGTTGGAATCATTCCGCTTTGCCGTACCTTTCAGCATCTTAACAGCAACCTGGATCGAGACTCCTGTTTTACTAATTCCATAGGCGGTGGCATTCATCACTTTCCCGAAGGCACCTGATCCCAGCACTTTCCCTACAACAGAAACAGTGAGTGAACCTATCTGAGTGGTTTCCCAACAGGAAGGAACGGCTACGGAAACGTTCACAACCATCGGCTCCTACCAAACTCAAGATTTTCTCTTGGAAACTCCCATTTGAGATCATACTCAAAGTCTCTGAAATCGACGTAGAAGTACTCGTTATCCAGCGAGCCGGTCACCTGAACCATCTGCAGCTGGCTTTCGTACCTAAATTGCTGCGAGGATGAGAGAATGAGTCTGGTAAGAACGGGCAGTTCTGCAGGGACAGGAAGCAAGGATGAATTTTGACCTTGGCTTTTACCTTCTTGTACTTGTGATAAAGGAGCATGGTTAAAACCGCGATGAAGAGAAGACAAAATCCAATGGTTGCGTAGAATGAGATGTTGTCTTGGATGAACAGGAAGGGGTCTGCAACAAGAGTGCCCCCAAGCAGTGAGTCAGGACTCCTGTTTGTGTTACAAATGATGCAATGGTCCTTTCGAACCTCTCCCGGCCTGTTTGAGCCGCCATCACTTTCAATCCTTTAACAACTCTGCATGTACCCCACTCCCCGACGGAAAATCAGCAAATGCTCACAAGAAGGGGAATTGGAAAGTCCTTCCTCTCTAGGAAGCGTTCAATGTTTCTAAACACATTAAAAAAAAAAAATCGTTTAGGAAGTTTGAAAATTCATGTTGCTAAGTGAAAGAACTCAGTTGGAAAAAGCTAACTATTGTACGATTCCAACTATAGGACATTCCAGAGGAGAGCGATAAAACAACTCGTGGTCATCAGGGGTTGGGAGACAGGAGGGATGACCAGG